AGGCCCTCCCAGCATTTCCCACAGAGTGACAGGGTTGGTATGTGACTGTGTGTGCACCTGAAAACACAAGCAGGGGTCTCTGTGCTGCTCATTGATGTGTCCTGAGCATCTGAAGCTGCCTGACATGTAACAGATGTTCACTAAACATTTATTGATACTTGATGTTTTATTTATGCATAATGAAACTGTCATAAAATTGAATATCTCCATTTTAAATAATCACATTTAATGCCCATTTACCTTCACTTAAAGTATTAACTTATTACTAAAATATCATTTAAAACATTACATATTAAAGTGTATTATTAAAATTATATGAGAAGTCAAATGCAGTGGCTCACACCTGTAATCCCAACACTTTGGGAGACCAAGGTGGGAGGATCATGAGGCCAGGAGTATGAGACAAGCCTGGCCAACCATGGTGAAACCCTATCTCTAGCTAAAAATACAAAAATTAGCTGGGCATGGTGGCACACACCTGTCATCCCAGCTGCTCAGGAGGCTGATGCAGGAAAATTACCTGAGCCGGGCAGGCAGAAGTCACAGTGAACATATATATATATTAATATATATGTATATGACATCAGAGAAGTGGAGCCAAATGGTAGAACAGGACTCTCCAGTGATTGTCCTTCCTGTAGAAACATCAGTTTGAACAACTATCCATGCACAAAAATACCTTCACAAGATAAAAAAAGAAAAGAAAAAGAAAACTAGAAAGAAATGCCTTCCCTGTAACACAGTAATAAGAAAGAATGCATTGAAGAGGGTAGGAGGGACGGTTTTACATTACCCACATTATGCCTTTCCCAATCTCAATCAGCACAGCACGGAGTGAGATACTGTCTTCTTGGGGAGAATGAGAGGAAACTGAGCACAGGACTTTGCCTTAGGCCCCAACACTGGGCCTGTCACAATTAAAACTCAGCACTGGGCAGAACCCCATGGACCCAGACTCCAGGTTAGTACCTGCAAATTAAGTTTCCAGACTTGCCCAGGTGCCAGGCTTCAGGGCTGCAAGGCAGGCTCGACCTCCAGCCCACCCTAGCGTTACACTGGTTACAGCAGGCCTGGGTTTGGGGCATGCCCCAGCACCGTGACAGACATAGCAGCCTTAAATTTCCAGTGTCTCCTGGTACCATACTGGCAACAGTGGCATCAAAAGTCAGGTGCACCCCCATACCACATTGGCCCTAGCTGCCCCAGGCTTCAGAACCATGCCAGACAACCAGCTCAAAATCTCTAAACAGGTTGACTGTGGAAGGACTTTCCAAGACAAAGGCAGTCTGCAAAGACTGAAATAAGCTCCTACTTTTTTAAATGCACAGACATCAACACATGACCACAGGGATGAAGAGCAATCAAGAAAACGAGACATCATCAAAGAGACAAAATAAAGTGCCAATAACTGACCCTAAAGAAATGAAGATATATGAATGACCCAACAAATAATTAAAATTAACTATTAAGGAAGCTTTGTGAACTTCAAGAAAATACAGAGAAAAAAAAAATCAGTGAAATGAAAAAATGGTAAGTGGCCAGAATGAGAAATTTAACAGACAGATTGAAATAATTTTAAAAATCAAGCAGAAATCCTGAAGGTGAAAAATACAATGAATGACACAAAAATGCAATAGAGAACATCAACACTGGAATTGACCAGATTCACTCTGAATTTGGGCATGATATAGAAATATCTAGTCCTGACCAGTGCAATAATTTGAGAAATGGGATAACAGATTGGAAAAAAAATTTAAATGCCATTATTTATGATGACATACTTTATGGAAAATACAAGAATTATTTCAGATCTATTGTGGGAACTATTAATTAAATTTAGCAAAGTTTCTAGACAGAGGGCCAACACATACAAAAACATCAATTACCTCTGTTTGTGTCGGCAATAATTAGAAAATAAACTTTTTAAAGGATACCATTTACAGTAGCCTCAAATAACATCAAATTGTTAGGAATAAATCTAGTGAAAAATATGCATGGCCTCTCCACAAAAATCCTACAAATCATTCTTCAGAGAACTTAAAGAAAGCCTAAATAAATGCCATGAGTATGATTCTTCTCAAATTTATGTGTAGATTCAATACAATTCCAATCAAAATTATAGCACTACTTGTAGAAATTAATAAGAAACATTCAAAATTTATTATATTTATTTATGTAAATGAAAAAGGCAAGCAGTATACAGTCTTGAGAATGCAGGACAAAGTTGGAAGGCTTATGCATCAGCATATGTGGACACATCATGAAGATGCAGTTATTAAAACAGGGAGTGTTGGTTTGAGGATAGCAAAACACGTCAATGGAACAGAATCGTCTGTTCTAGACTAGAAAGAGAAGAGAGAGACAGTGTTTTAAATAAAAGGTCAACTGAATATCCACACCAAACAAAATGCTATCTTGACTCCTACTCACACCATACATAAAAATAACAATCCTAGCTGGATTGTGGAGCTAAACATAAATGGTAAACCATAGAATTTCCAGAATATCTAATGGGAAATTACCATGTTTTGCAAGTTAAGCAAAGATTCCTTAGCTAGAACATCAAAAGCACTAATCATAGGGAGAAAGATTCATAAATTGGACTGCCCTAAAATTAGCAACTTGTGTCGTGTTCAAATACGCCATTAAAAGAGTAACAAGGCAGTCACTGATCCACAGTAGTGAAAGAACGCCCACAAATTAGCCAAAGGACAGACAACATCATAGCAGAAGGGACAAAAGGTGTGGACACACTTGTTTATAAAAGAGGCTGTGCTCAGCATCATCAGTCATCAGAAAAATGCGCATCGAAACTGTAGTGAAGTGCTATCACACACTCGCCAGAATGTCTAATAACAAAATGCTGGCCACACCACATACCACTGAGGACAGGGAGCATGTGGAATCTAATATCCGCTGGTGGGAGTGTAAAGTAACATCATCTCTTTAGAAAACTATGTACTAATCTTGAACCTACGCTCACTCTAGGGCAGGGAAATTTCATTCCTAGATATGCGGCAACCAGAAATACACCAAAATTAAAACAAAGCAAAAGCTATACACGAGAATCTTCCTAGCGTCATCATTAATAAGAGCTAAAAACAAAAAACAGCCCAGATGCCAACCAACCACACATGGTAAATACACTGCAGCACATTCACACAGTGGAACGCCTGCAGGGTGAAAATGAGCGAACGCTGCTACCTGCCAACACCACTGTTGAGTGTGGGGCAAAACAAGACCGACACGCAGAAAAATCTCACGGCGTGCTTCCACTCACAAGAAGCTCAACGCCAGACACAACTCATGCACAGAGCTAAAAGTCAGTACTTCCAGAGGCATAGAGGGAATGGGGCTTCTAGGTGGTGGGATTTTTGTGAACATCCACTAGGGGAATATTTATAATTCCTCTATGTACATTATATATCTGCACAAATGTTTATTTAAAAATATCAAGTCATCAGGGTTAAGCATCTAACAATACTGAGAGTCTAGAAGAGAAGTCCAGCAGCCCCTCGCCTGGTGCCTCTGCTCCGCAGGTGGGACACGGAGGCATGGAGAGCGAACAGTGTGTCTGAGTTTTGACCCAGTGGCAGAACCAGGGCAGAGCAGGGTTGCCAGCGTCTTCTAGCTCATGGGGTCCCTTTCACCTTTTCCTGTCAACATGAACTACTTGAATTTTCTTTAGCTCCGGATGCCTTCATCATGAAAAATGAGAAGTTAGGAAATCCTAGAAATAGACAGAAAATGATTTCTTAAAGACATTTGCCAGCCTGAACCGTCCTTTCGGGAGAAGGCTAAAAGAGGGCTACCTCGAGATTTGGACAAGTCCACCGCCAGGCAGGGTCCCGCGAGGGGTGGCTGCCCTATCATTATGAGGGACAGCAGTGCCTGAGTTTTATTTCCAGATTTAAGTTGTTCCCTGGAGAAGTGGTGATGATATGACTGCCTGCCAATCATTTGCCGGTGATCATATTAATGATTTCTAAGCAGGTGAATTCTCGTCCCTCCGCCCAGATCTAGCTCAGGCATCGATTCTGCATCTTCCTCAGCTCCCTCCACGCGCCCATGAAGAGGTCGTTGACTTCAAGGCTACAGAAGCCATCTTCTCCCAAAGAGTCGGCAATTGTGCCCAAGATGACTGTCAGCGGAGGACGTGACTCGGGAGTGCAGAGGTCAGGTCGTCTCCATCAGGGTGCTGCTGTTTAAGGTTATTTTTTCGTGACTGAGTAATAAGAAAATGAGTTGGATGTCGTCTTCCACTTTCCCGTCTTGAGTAACTCTACTGTTGATGGCCTTGCTCTTCGCATCCGCCTCCCTCCGCGTGACGTACAGCAGTGTGCTGTGCCCGTGTTACCTTCAGAAATGTGTAGAATAAAAGGCCAGTGATGGTGGCATTTCTGACCTCTGTGTCCAGCCCTGTGCGTGAGTGTGACTCCCTGTTTCCAGCAGGGCCAGCTTGAGTGTTCTTGGTTGTGGAGGGACAGGAAAGGATCAGAAGGTCCCCTGCATTTTTCCCTGGAGCCCAGCCCCTGTGCCCATCTTCCCAGCAGGCACAGGCCACAGCCGGACATCACCCCAGGGAGGAAGGTTGGGAAAGGGCAGCGAAGCCATCCTGGACCCACCAGTGCAGCTGGTCTTCTCCCCACTAGGGGAGAAGTAGGAGAGGTGAACGGTGACTCGACCTAATTCATCAATTTAGTCAACAAAAATACAGGCAGTGCAAGTATGCACGGGCCTTTTGCCGTGTGCTGGAAACCCAGGGCTGACTTGTACATGGTCCTGCTTTCTAAGGACCTCACGGGGAGGAAAGCAGGTGAGCAAATGCTTATTAAACATTAATCGTGTTGACTGGAAGAAGCAGATGAATTCAGATCCTGCCTGAAGAAGCAGTGACCTCTGCTCCCCATGTGCTAACAGAGCCGGGCACAGGCAGAGGCTGGGTCATCTGAGCCCAGGGTGCAACCCACTCTGTCACTGTCCCTGCATACTCAGCAGATCTGAGAAGCTCCCGTGCTTGTCCCACGGGTCTGCAGCTCCTGAAATGAGCCCTGTGTCTCCTCAACCGTCCCGCCTGAAGCCCAGAGGAGCGGACCTGGAGGATGCCTTGGCGCTCCCTCGCTGAGTCTGGTAACAGTAAGTAGCAGTGGAGGAAGCCGAGGCTCAGTGGCATTTCCAGAGCTGTGGGTGCCAGCAGGACGTGGGCAACGAGGCTTCCCAGCACAGCCTTGTATACAGCGCAGCTCTTACCTCAGGCTTGTTTGCGGCTGAGGCCTCTAACCCTCACCAAGACAAGATGTCTCTGTCTTAGATCATGGAAAATATACTTAGGACTTCACCAGCTGGACCCTTCCAAATGAAGATGTCTGAGAAACACATCCCTTACACACACAGAAGATTCCGATTGTCAAATCAAATCCAAACTCAGGCAAGGAAAGACTTTATCCAAAAGGAACCCTGCCATTGGGGGAGGGACTATTGCATGGGTTGGGGGGGTGGGGCTTTGACCATCAGACCTGAAAGCATCTCAAAGGCCAGAAAAAAAGGGATTCTCTTTTATAGGGAGAGGCGGGCACAGCTGTAAAGAACTGTCTATGGTAAGAAGAGTGGGCTGGTGTCGTGACCTCACGGTTGAGCAGAACACGTTCTCAGTGGGCGTGGAAAGGAAGGGTCTGTAGGTGGCAGGGGGCAGAGTCCCAAGTACAGTTGGCCAAGCCAAATTAGTGAATCTTTGTCCAGACTGGCGAGAAAGGACAAAATCTAGTTAACTGTTTATGAGGGTCTGTGCCTGGCCCTCACCCGGGTAAACGAGGGGCATTCCGGAGTTTTATGTAAGTCATGTGGGGAAGGGTAGATCTTGGCTGTAAGCCATTGCCTGGGTAACAAACAGATGAGGGAGGGGACAGCCGGCCTCTCAACCCTGACGTTTCCAGGAGTGCAGAGCTCAGGGAAAGTGTGACAATGCCTCTATGTGTGGAGATTCACTCCGGTGACTAGCCAAATACTACAATAAACATTAACGATATATTAGGGGAACTTACAGATTAGTCTCAAGCCTTTTGGAAGGCTGAAAGTTTGTGCTGGGGCAGGCCAAAGGTGGCCAGTGCATGAGGTTCGGGGGAGAGAGAGGTGACCAAAGGCCTTGCCCACAGCCATTTGTCTCCACTCTGTTTACTCATGTTAATCTTGTGCCGGGTGGTAAAAAGGGGATTACCTGTTAATAGCATTTACTCTGGGCCCTGGAACCTTAAGCTTTTGTCGGTCATAAAGCCATTCTCTGAGCCATGTGAATTATCCACAAGTGTATTAGCTTAGAACCTGTTACGAATAGAAGTGTAGAGAGACAGAGGGTCTGGGTGGATTGGTTGCATTTCCCCCTCTGAAAGCAGCCAGGGGCCATCTCTAACCCACTTGAATCACTGTAATGGTGTGAGAGTGCATTCACTCATCCGTCGATGAGTCAGGGTCTGCAGGACAGCCTTCCGCGGCGATGGGACGGCGATGGGACCCACGTCTCAACTAAGAATGGTTTCAAATCACTTTTACTCTAATGTGTCATACAAGCGGTTTTAGGTAGCCTGCTGCTCATTATTGTCACGTGATTAACATTAATCGTCCTGCAAAACAACTCAGCACAACAGCAGGACCATAACCAAGCTGCTTCTCCGAGGACTGGACATTTAGACAAGGATTTAAACATCCTCCTCTTGACATTTTCTTTTGCTGAAAATGACGGGTTTTGGAAATACACGTTGCAGACTCAGCTGAACGGTGGAAGCGATGCCTTTGCCAGGCAGGTGCTATGTTCATTTCACTAACACATGCTCCATGTGCTCCAGGAAGAGAGCACAGAGCCCTGTGCCAGGTCCAGGCAAGGCAGGAGGAGGGAACACACGCCCTGCCTTCTGGCTGACCCTTGATGGTGGGAGGGCGCTGGCAACGCTAATGGGGCCTCTCTGGCCGCAGACTGCAAGTTCAACGTCATTCTCCACTGCTCTAAAGCATGAGGTTGACGCACCGGAACGCAGCTACGGAGCCTGGACGCAGACGACACGCTTGGGAAAGGTCAGATCAGCCCAGACCAGCTGTGCGTAGGTCAAGCGAAGGGCCCCGTGGGCAGGAGACAAGAGCCAGTCACCTCCCGCCCCGGGTCCCATCCCAGGCAGAAGTGCGATGGCAGAGCTGAGGCCGGTAAGGTTCGTCGGCAGCAGAGGAGGCCGCCCCGGGCCATGTTCCCCTCAAGCTTTCCGCACGCTGTCTGCAGAAGCAAGCTGGGCAAACCAGCAGGGGAGGACGGGCCCAGGAGCAGAACGGGGGAACAGCTTCAACCTGACCGGCTGGAATCTGGCTTTGCCGCTAAAAGAATCCCTCGGGCATCTAAACCCTCTATATGTGTAACAGAATCCGAAACGGCGCATGGGTCTGCACGGTTTGCGGAAGGGCTCGCCATCCGTGAGGCCTCCGAGGAGTCAGGAAGCGGCACACGAGGCCGCGCTCGGGGCGTAAAGGAAGCAGGAGCAAGAATGAAATACGGAAGGCCTCAGGAAAGCCCCCGGAGGCCAAAAGTCGGCTCCTGTTTCTCCCGTACACACCTCAGGAGGCCGTGTATTGCATTAGGCAGGTAATTAGGAAGCTCGCTTTTAGTTCATCTGCGGTGTAAAAGCCATCTGCGTGGACATCCTCAAGGCTCCGGCAGTGGCCTCTGTGGTCCAGCTTCCTCTCTACACAGCACACCCTGCCCCTTGGCACCCGCATGCTCAGGAAGGGAGCACCCTGACACCCTGGCTCGCAGTGGCACTTTATCAAATGGCGTCTGCAGGGAACCTGGCTGCCCAGCACCAGGTGCAGCCACCACTTACCGGCAAGAGGAAATCCGGATGGCGTGTCCCGGTGAGCACGGCCGCAAGTCTGCAAGGGCTGCCTGGCCCATGGCTGCAGAGAGGGCAAGAGGACAGTGACATTCTGCCACACTCCCGAGAAAGGGGTGAGGACAGGCTTCGCTCCTATCGCTTTCACGCACTCGGGAGAGACATCAGCTACAGTGAACGAAACAGCTTAGGGGTCAAGGGTCCCGCGTCCGGCTTAGTGAACACCAGGCAGCGGCCTCCCGGGAGTCTTCTGGTGGAATTTTGCTTCTGCTCTCCTCTGTCTGCCCAGGAAACTTATTCCAGAGCGACAGCACACATCAGGGACACGCTCACACACCTCTGTCCGTGTCACACACGATCTGCCCACGTGTCAGGCCTGGAAATACGGTGGGGCCCCGGGAGGCTGTGAATCCATGAATTCAGCAACAGGACGCCTGCTGTCCTTAGACCAGGAGCCCGCCATCCTACGTCAAGCAGGTTCAATCAAATACCCTTGTCCTCAGGGACAGATGATGGCAGGATAGACAGCAGCTAATGCATCCGTTGGCTTATGCAGCCAGGGAAGCCGGCGGCCCTCAGTTCTCGGCAGCCTCCTTCATGAGAACCCCGTCCAGCCGCTTCCCTCCTGCAGTCAGGTCCTAAGCACCTGCCTTCCACCTTCACACCTCGCCACCGTGTCTCTCCTTTTCATTGTTTACCAGCTGCTCTCTGTCCACAAATGCTTCCCTGTGACCCATATCCCCCCAGGAAATCTCTCCCTGCTTTCCTGCACTGCAGGGTCCATGAGGTAATGACAGAAAGACTGAAGGTCAGTCCGGGCAGTGCCCGCAGCCGGCCCAGCCTCTCCTGCAGCAGTACCTGCACCTTTACCATCCTCAGCCCGAAAACGGGCAGGCAGCAGGAGCAAAGGCAATGAACAACGATAACTCATATCTGGGGTGTCGGCCCCTCCGCATCCTCGGCCTAGGTCTCTGAGGCCTGGTGGGGCCAGGGAGGGAGGTGGTGGTCTTTTAAACGTTGATAAATTCATTAAGATCAGGTGGAAAAAGAGCTGATTAATTTAAAGCAAGCAGAAGCAGGATGGTGGGAACTTGACACTGATGGTGAGGGCAGGCAGGGATGGAGAAAGCAAGAGGCTGCACGGGATGGGGAACAGTGGGCAGGAGACGGAGGGACGCCAGGGCTCTGGCCAGCAGGGGTGGCGCCGGGCAAGAGGCGGAGAAAGAGGATTTGCTCTTCACAAGCTGCGCTGTGGTTTTCGCATTGTCCCTTTGGGTTTCTCTGCTAAAATGCCAGTAAAGATTTACATTCCACATTCAACTATCCTCAGCTGCTGGACGAATTTCATTTGAATGTTACTCTGTTGAGACAGGATTACTCGGGCCCCAGGTATACGCAGCCGACAAAGCCAAACACAGACCCTCTGACCTCCTACTGTCGGACTTATGACTGATTAGATAAAATTAAAACTGGTCCTCGCCATTGATTAGGTAATGTCAACAAAAAATAAAGTCCCACCCCTCCCCACACAACTGACTGATGGAGCCCTCTCTTGGTCAAGGGCATTCCAAGGAAGCCTGGAAAACCAGCTCGGTTTTCCAGGAGGGAAGTTGAGTCAGGCGTGTCTCATGCCCCCCTCTCCCTTTGGGATTCTGGCACAACTGCCCGCAAAGTCTAACAGAGCAAACTCTGGGGCAGTAACAGACCAAACTCCAACCTGACTATAGCACCACATGACAGACAGCAGGCCCTAGAAGAACCCGAAGTGTTTTACCCCAAAATGTTCTCCTTCTGTTACAGGAACAGAGTCCCAACCCAGAAGACAGCCCAGGCGGGCTCTCTCTTCCTTCAGGCTGAACATGAGTCCCACCTACAATACCAGGTGAGCCCAGAAGAATTAAATGGGGAGATCAACCTGAATCCCCACTCACAGTAAGTGTTCCTCTTCCCCATCAAGCCTGATGAAGCCCTCCCTAGCCCAGAGACACTGAGGCCAGGAGGCACCTATGGGGAATATCCTGCTCCCAAACCACGTGGGCTTGGAAATGCTCAGGGTTGGCTCCACGGTGGGGGGAGAATCTCAAAACAAATGAGCAAGTCAGAAGATCCCCTCCTCCTAGAGACACCAGGTGGCCTAACCTGGAGTATTTTCTCCACATCTTCAAGCAGCATCGGCAGGGAGCAGTGCAAGCATCAACACCAATGAGAAAGCAAGCAGACCAAAACCACATGGTATCAGCTCCCAACATGAGACAGTCACTGGAGCTGCAGCTCAAAGTACACCAGGACCTTTGTACCAAACCTAAAAAGGGTAAGTGCTAGCTAAAATGCAGCTTTCATATATAATCCATAATCTCCTTAGCCAATTTTTCCAGTATATTATTATAGATCATCTGTCATGCAATGAACCAGAAAATTAGAACTTGGATAAAAAACACACACACCATCAACTGATGCCAACACCGGGAGAAGTCAGTTGTCCAAATTATATGACAAGGATTCTAAAGCCTGTGTCACCAACATGATTCAATAGGCAATGAATAAGCAATAAATAAACCAGATGAAAACTGAAAAATACAATAAGGATAAAATAAAAATACTTGCTGATTGGGTTCAACAGTAGTGTGGAGAAGACAGAGTACAGAATTAGTGAACTTGAGGTCAGATCAATAAAATTCACCTAATATGAACACACAGAGAAAATGCTGAAAAAAAAATGAACAGAGCCTTAAAGACTGTAATCCAACATTTATATCACTGGAGTTGTAGAAGAAGAGAAAGAGAATGGGGCTGAAGGAATACATGAATAATTATTAACTGAAAACTTCCCAATTTTGGTAAAAGAAATCTAAAGTTCACAAAGGTAAAAAAAACTCAAAAACAATAAATTCAAAGAAATTCATACTAAGCCACAACATAATCAAATCCCTGAAGTTAAATAAAAAGAAATTCCTGAAAGCAGCAGGAGGGAAATGACAACTTATCTACAGGGGAAAATCAATTTGAATGACAGTACATTCCTCCTCAGAAACCACCTGGGCACAAGGAGTAACAGAGCACTTTTCAAGGTCTGAAAGGAAAAAACTGTCAACTAAGAATGCTATGTCTAGCAAGACGTCCTTCAAGAATTAAGGTGAAATGAAACTCTTCTAAAATGAAGAAACACAGAAACAAGTTGTGGCAAGTAGATCTAGTTTAGTAAAGGACTGAAGTCCCTCTCATGTGTTCCAGCCACCAGAATAAAGCAAAAATACATATTAAAGGCATAAAGATTGGGGAGGCAGAAGTGAAGGTGGCCCTATGAATAGGTGACAATGATCTACATTAAAAATACCAAGGAATTTTTAAAAATTCTATAACAAGTGAACTCAGCAAGGTCGTGGTACACAGGATCTACACACACAAATCAATCACATTTCTACACATTAACTATGCACGTGTGGAAACTGACATTTAAAACACAGTACCTTTCATTTCAAAATGCATTAAATACTGAATTATAAATCTAAGAAAACTGCACAGGTTATGTATGCTGAAAATTGTGAGATGTTGATGAAAGAAAACAAAACACACCTAAATAAACGGAGAGACATAGCATGTCTAAGGGAGGAAAAATTCAGCTTAGGAAAACTGTCAGTCCTTCCCAAGTTCACCTGTAGGTTTACTGTGATTTCTGTCACATCAGATCAAGTTTGTTGTAAAATGGGCATAAGCAAGCTTACCCTAAAATTTATTTGCGAGCATAGGCATTAGCAAAGACAATCCTGACCCCGAGTCAAGTGGGAAGAATCACTCTCTCTCTCTCTAACCCACAAGCCCATCCCTCTTTTCTCCACTTAAAGCCATCTAGTGACTGCACCTTGATTAGCTGGCTCACAAACTGATGTGTATTTATCTCGAGAATCATCCCTCAAAACCCATCCGTGTCTCCAGGGCTCTTACAAGACACTAATACATCCTGGATAGAGAAGTAGAAAGTCTCCTTCAAACGCAGCTCACAGGTCCTGATTGCCATGCCAGCTGCCCTGCCACGTGGGCCTTGTGAAACAGCACCGCACAGCTGCAGGCATCCTAGTGGCAGACACAGATGCCGTAGGGAGATGCGGGCAAGCCTTGTGGGGAGAGTGGAGTGCAACCCTCAGGATTAGAATGAAGTCTCTGCCTTCCTGTTTGGACTGGAGTACTAGTTTTCTGTATAAAAGCAGCTCCAGGCTGCCACGGGGCCTTGGCACAGGTTGAAGATTGGACTGGGGGAAACAGAGTGACTACAGAACGTGAGCTGTGCCTCACAAGCCAAGTGCCGTCTGGTCCGCCGGGCCATCCAGTCAGATGTGCATGGTGCTGGAGTACGTCGCATTTACAGGACTGGCCCCAGCAGATCTGGAAGGCACACGTGTTGCCGGAGGAAGCGGCTCAGGTTCCCTGCACTCGCTGCTGCGCTGAGTGGGGCTGTGTGTCACAGGTAAGGGACGGCTCCTCAGGGGAGCTCAGGGAGGTCCGGGAGGGCAAGCAGATCCTCCATCTGGGTTTCCACAGTGAATTCAGACTGTCAAAGTGTGTCCTCACAGTCCCTGCGACCTTAGGACTTTTCGCACTTGACGTTGGCAGGCTGCAGCAGGGACAGCTGCCTGTGGCAGTCCAACATTTCTAGCAAAGGTGCGGCTGGCTCCTTCAGGGCTGTCTTTTTATATCACAATGACACAGGGCTTAATAAGCACCTGACAACTCTGGAGGCAGCGTCAGGAGGGAGTGTGGGCAAGCTTGTAAGGCTTCTTGGGTAGAAAAGCTCACGACACTTTTGTGTCTTTTTTATCCACAAGTGGACTTGTCATCTGTGGACCTAAAGCTGAGTGTCTTCCATCCGCTCCTCCGGCGCTCTGGCTTCCAACTAGTTCAGTCCATGCCCACAGTGAAGCCACAGGAAGAAAGGCATCAACTCAGGATGATTCCCATGCCCGCCCCTGGCCCCCACCCCCCGGGCCACCGAGTATCTCACGCTGGCACAGCTCCAGCAGAAGACCCCGGTTCCTGTCCAATCCCTCTAGACACAGCTCCCCACATCTGCGGGTCCTGGTCACTGCCCATCCCCTCCCCTCAGAGGCCCACAGCTGCTTCCTTGCACTGGCTCTGAAGAACTGCACCACCACCCCGCTGCAGTCACGTGCACTTCCCCGACGTGAGCAGCCACCTGTTCCCGCCAGGTTTCTGGCTGCTGCACTAGGGAATGGAATCAAAGAGCCGGGCGGTGCCAAGGGCCTGTCTGGTGCTTGAGATCTTCATCTTAAAATAAAACCGGCCATCCCCGTGGGACGATTCACGTCAGCAACATTCGGGGACGGTAAATGTAGCATGGAGCCAGTTTGTTGGCTGAGCGTTAAATCTCAGAGCACAAACAAACAACTAAGCGACCAGGGAGCTGGCAGCGGACGTCGGTCAATGTCGCTGGCCAGTGAACACGCGGTTCCAGCAGGGGCGAGGTTTGCTTTAGAGGGTGGCCTGGGGCAAACGACGGGAAGCGCTGGAGGGTCAGGGACAGACCAGAGAGGAAGGACCCCAGGCAGGTCCTGGGGACCCAGGGTGGGCGTCACACGGAGGGGAGTGGAGGAAGGGAGGCCGGGGTGCAAGCCAGAGAGAGAAATGAGCCCGCGGAACGGGAAGGGAGGCCTGAGGAGCAGAGAGAGGCACCAACACGAAGCCAGTGGGTGGGAGCCGGGCCCGAGCGTCGCAGGGATGGCACGTGGAAGGATGGAAGGGCAGACGTGAACGGAGCTGGAAGCTGCCGGACACGCGGGAGACCAGCGCACCTCCATGCATCCAGCCGTGGGGCAGAAGAGGAACCGACGCCTTCCAGTGACTGGCTCAGGGACGTGCAGGTCCACTGAGACCAAGCAAAGTGCGGGCAGCCCGGGAGCAGCGGGAGGAACCTCCCATGGACAGACCGTGGCAGGGGCTCCTCCAGGGCATCCGTTCAGCTGCACGTGTCTGGAGGCTTCTGTGTGATGTTGCCCAACACCACATTTTAAAATAAAAATAGGTTTGCATGTCAGCTTTGCTGTCAAGGAATTGAAAGGGCATATGATCATAAACACTCCCAGCCCTTCGAGGAGGAACCAGGTTGCCATGCTACAATACAGACTCCCCACAGTCAACACGGACACCCATCCTCAGGGTGCCCGAGACAGAAACGGGACCAGAAAGGTCTCCTGCATTGCAGTTCTTCGTGCCCTGAGCGTCTTGGACCTTTTGAAGTCAGACGCTTGACACACAATCACGTCGGGGCTGTGTCCCCCAACATTTTCACTGCAAGGTGTCACGCACAGAACATCAGGGACTGAAGAATGGCTTCCTCCTCTGGGGCATAACCACGCTACTGACGAGGCAGAGTGGAGGAGACCTCGGAGGAGGCACGGGCCCCCCTTGGTCTCTGTTCTCATTACCCGTGACTCACAAGGAATGCTTCACGGAAGAACTGCATTTAATAAACACTGACTGCCACAGTGTCCTGCAGGGAGAGGGTGTCGACCACGCTCACGTCCGCGTCACCGATGGAAACAGCAGCACCACTTGCAAAACAGAATGCTGACACTAGGCTGTTAAATACGTAAGACAGCCTTTAAAAGACGCCTATCATCTTCTGCAAGTCCAATTTCTGGACTTCTAAGTAGTGACTTTAAAACGGCAGAGAAAACTATAAATGGATAAAATGCAATTTTACATAACGCAAACTACTCCAAAGCGTTTTGTCAAGGAACAGTTTATTTTAAAATATAAAATGTTTTCCTTATGAGCAGTAAACCTTTTCCCAGAAAGTCTATCTGCAGAGAGCATACAATTCGAATCCTGATTATTTTAACACGAAAAGTGATTACAAGAACAACCAAACTGTGCTTATCCTCAGGAGAAATGACGATTAAACAGAACAAGCGATTTGGGTTGGATGTGCGTCTTCCCCGGTGTATCGTGAGAAGGGTTCTGAAGCATGTGTGTTTGTCTGGAGGGGAATCTTGAGCAGATTACCTCGTGTGTTGAACATTTTGTCCCTGGGGAGAAGGGACACACCGAGGCGGCCAAGGGGCGGCAGCATCCGCCGGAATGAGCGTTCGTGTCACGGGCTGCTCCACTGTGTCTCCACAGCATCTCCAGGGTAAGCACTTTTCTTCTCCAAAGACTGGGGTCAGGGTGGTTTCATGACTGATGGGTTGTGCTGGATGAATTTCCCCTTAGTCTTCGAGCGACCGGTGCGTATCTACTCATTCCAACCCAGCACCACATGAGCCACAAGGAGATAGCACATCCCAACGGTGCAGGACA